CCTCCCACATAAGCGACGACCGGGTGCGCTTCGTTGCGCGTGTCCGTCGAAACTAGGTCACGCCGCAGCCGCCGCACGCGGCGAGCCGGCCCGCGATATCTGACAGACGTCGCAATTGTCACTGGGGCATACGCTTTGCGTTTGGTCCACGGCAGTCAGTTCAAGAAGATAACACAGACAAATGCTAATCATTCGCTCCAATGACACTTGGTGGTATCGTAATGTCATCTCGAGGCCTCAGTGTGATGCGCCGCGCGCGAAGTGGGCGGGGTGACCTGCTTTCGACGGACACGCGCGACGGGCGTTCTCCGCGACGATCAGGATCGTATCGGAATCGAGGAGAGCAGGCACCCAATCCGAATAATTAAAGGACTCCTCCCTCGCAGATTGCGTGCTCCGATTCCCCATCGCAACACTGCGGTACCCGCGGAGCGCGGCGTGCGCATCCACGTTGTCGGGGAGGAGGCTCCGCCCCGGGCCAGTGGATATGCAGATCTATCGGAGTACAGAACTGAATGACACTAAACTGAAAACGCAAAAACCTTTGGGTACTAGTCTGACAGAGCTACGTACAATGCACAGTTTTGCAAAGTCCATGATAACATGTTTAATTGACATAGATCAATAATACCCTACAACACAATGGTTACGTGACTACTTGAACTTTCTCTGCAACTCTGACGGGAAGAGGCTAGAGTCCAGAGAAAAACACGCCGGGTGAAGCCTACGGCGGTGGTGGTGGGGGCCCCATTGGACAGGCGAGCACAACACGCAAAGACCACATTAAAGGGGAGTGCGCCAGACAAGGGCAGAAAAATGACGCATCCGGCAAATTTAAAGGAACCGAGTTCAAGTAGTCCGTAGGCCCAACACAATCCATATGCTCGTAGTAGTGCGCGACTGCCACGCCATAGTAACTAACGTGGGTGAGACATCACGACTGAATCGTTATTTCCTTTACGCCAAACGTTTTTCCGATAGTGATTTGCACAGGACCCGGTAAACCGATCTGCAAAAACTGGGGTCTTTTATCTTTGTAGGAACTCATTTAATTTGTAGGAAATGCCTTATAGAATTTTCAGGGCAACAGCTGTATAATTCCAACGGATGGCGTCACACTTTGCTGTTGCGATACGGATCTATGCAACTCCTCGTCGTCTTTATTTCTGCCTGGTATTATGGTCTTAACGATACTATTTGAATTTTTCATATTGTAGAATTTCAAGTGATTTTTCCCAACTGAACTGCTTTTTTCTTATTGTCCCACATATCAAAATGTGATGCTTTTCAGAAAATTTCAATTTCGATTGTAATTTATGAGCTCCCACTGTACATTGCTTTCTTATGTGAACTAATAGATTCATGGCTTATTTTGCTGGTTTGCCTATGAACTCATTCAAAAAAATATTTCTTTAATATGTCATATATGTCATTTCCGTGTCATCTCTGTTTCTTCAACTCCTCCTGAACTATTTGGTGTTGAATAACTGAAAACTCGACATTGCACCCCATATGCACTGCAGGAAATGGCTCAGCTCTGAAACGTACTCGAATGAAGGGAAACACAAGAGCTTTTACGGATCGCCTGAACAAACCGCCCCATGACCATCTCTCTACGAGGATTGCATTCGTAAAAATGACAGGAATTGATGACATATAATGTTTTCCTCTTGAATCCAATGCAAGCATATCCTGTCTTCAGTGATTGGGACACAGGGAATAGCTATCTGCCTTCTTCTTTTCTGAAAGGAAAGGGCTCGCTTTCGAAGTTGAGACCAGATTTGTTTGGTATTACGAATATCGTTAAACATGTGGGGTGGGGTGTGCTCCGTTGCGCGGTCCGTCGAAACTAGGTCACGCCGCAGCCGTCGCATGCGGCGGGTCAGCCCGCGATACTTGACAGACGTCGCAGCTGTAAGCGAGCATGCGATTTGCGCTTTCTCCACGGTAGTCAGCCAAAGAGAAGATTACATAGACAAATACAAATCGTTCGCTCCACTTACACATGGTGGTACTGTACTGTCTTCCCAAGACCTCAGTGGAGTGCGCCGCGCGCGAAGAGGGCGGGTGACCTACTTTCGACGGACGCGCGCAACGGACGTTCGCCTGTGGGGTGTACACTTTTTTGAGCAGCTCGTGACGCGGATATGGAGCAGGGGATCAGATCAAGAATAGCAACTTTCTTGCACATCTGTTTAGTGTCCTTGGAATCTCCTCAACTAACGTTTCTGGCTGAAGTCAGGTCTTCACACCAGGAGCTCTTTGAGGTCGGACACCATCTTAGAAGTTACGAAGATGAACAGGCCTGCCTTTCTTGTGGGTAATGCTCTCATAGATTTTTCTTTCCTTCGATTTTTTTCTAATACTTACTATAAAACAAAGTTTGAGTAGAGTGTAGGACGATTTCAAGTAAGGGAATAGAGCCATCCTGCTCAATGTTGCGATTCTTGTTTATCACTTCCAATGGGGGAGGGAATTAGGAAAGAGGGTAGAGGTTTTGAAAAAGAGGGTTTCATTTTCAGCGAAAGTGGTAGCTTCTGTTTATGTTGTGATTTGTGATTAAGTTTTTGAGTTCTCATCAAAATTCAGAATGTACTCAATTATTTACTTGTTTCTCTGTCATGAAATCGAGGAATGCTCGAAGAAAAGATCAGTCTGTGCAGAGCTAGCCTTTCACTGTCTGAATATGCTTTTTCATGCGGTCTCACTACATGAGTTTGATTCGTCAGTAGAAAAGCCCAATGTGTGCGAAAAAGCCAAAAAATATGTTTTAAAAAAGAAAATAGGATTAACAGTTGAAGAACAGAGAGACTATATACAGCTTCTCATAGCTCACCTGGTAGCGCGGTACCACACTAAAGGTAATTGTAAGAAAGTTGGTACAAGCTTAAAATCATAAACTTGTTGCTGGGACAAATTTGCACCGCAACCATTACATAGCAACCAAACCAAAGTAACAAAGGAAAACTGAAAATCTGGAAGAAGCTACCGGCTTCTTAATAAAGACCCTCGAAATTTACTCTGACTAGTTGCGTTGAGCTCAAAAAAAGTCTGCAATGGATAACGACTGTGAGCGTCAATCATTCGTATTTGTTGAATGCACCCCAGCATTCTCCTCTTCTAAGCATCGTAGTGGCTTTTTGAATGTTTATACAGCCTTTACAATGAAGGATTTTGGATGGCCTAGGTACGGATTGATCCGGGATTCGTTCCTTGGATTATGTATGTACAGGGTGTCCCAAAATTATTTGCGCCAGAGTTCAGTAATTTTTAAGGTAGAAATAATTCATCAAATTCACATAACCTGTTATTAATTAGTTGCATAAGGAGGTTTCCTTGCAATATGCATGGTTGCTGATGTGGAACTCCCATTATCTTACAGATGGAGGAGGCTCATTCAATGCCACTCGTAATCATTGACGCGCGAGAAGTGGAAGGGCGTTATGAAATTCTTTGGGATTTTTCTAATAACCGTATAGGAGGCTATTAAACGACATAGAAAAGATTGAATCAGAGACAAACCAGGGAAGATAGAAAGGTAGAATGTTTCTGAAGATAGGACTATTAAAATGGTCCGTGTGCCAATCGGTCGGGATCCTGGGTGACCCATCAAAAAGAAGTCAACGGGCACGGCTCACAGGAGTTATCGCGATGGAAGAATGTCATGCAGGAGCTTCACTGCCGTTCCTATCGTATGCAGAAATTTCGCTTCAATTCCGATCTCAACAGATACTGCAAGGCCAAAAATGCAAAAAGTCGAAAATGGTGACACGCAACCCTTCGTCGTTTTCTCTGGTCAAAGAATTTTTCACGATAAAGCCATTTCTCAACAACCAAAACGTTCGAGAAACATCCAGCGTGTAATATCTCACAAAGAGGTTGTTATCAGAACAGTAAAATGTTTTTCGAGGAAATCACTGGCAAGGGTAAGCCGCTCGTGGTTTCTTCGGTGCAGGCGTGAAAATTGACCAAGACCAGTATTCAAACGGCGGACTAATGGAAGTAAATAAAACATTGATCCGACTACGTTTTCTGAAACATCTCACAGTCCTTCCAGCAGGACGCTTCACCAGCCCACAGAGCCAAGTTTGCCCGCGAGTGGTGCCGACGACAGCTGCCCGACTTCATTGGTGAAGAAGAATGGTCGTCCTATTTTCCAGAACTTGACTCACTTGAACCCCACGAATGGTCCCTGATTAGAAGAGGACCTGTCGAGTTTGCAGTTCCAGTTTGAAATCCTAGAATGCAAAAGTTGGAGGACGGCTGGGAAGAAATGGAGAAGGATACCTGCGTGCCACATGCGATCAAGTCGAAGGCAAACTTTGACTTCTACTCGCGCTCACGGGGGATATTTTGAAATGCGACTAAAGCATGTGGTAGCCCATAGTGTTAGCTAGCGTGCATAGAAATTTCATCGTCTTTCGCAGTTGAGAAGTTTCAAATATATTGCTATAAATCGGCGCAAATAATTTTGGGACACCCTGTAGGTGTGCGAGTGTCCGCCACTTGCCACCACACCACCTCCACCTCTACCATTCATTCCGACCAATCATTTCCTGATCTTATCACCTAAAGGAATGTGCCTGATACTTTGGAATATAAAACATTATACCAAATCCAAGGTGGAATTTTCAGGACATTTAAATAATTCCAATAAATAACTGACTGGCATCCGCTTATAAATGTTCCTTTTGCTTTGGAAAACTGCCCAGTTACTTTCACTATTCAGGTAAATTTGTTTCTTGCAATGGTGTTCTGATGAGAACTTTCAGTTTTACTTGTCGTTTGCACGCACTGTAAAGCAGTGCGAAAACCGAAATGCCCAAAGTATGCGTTATCACCCTTTGTGCTAGTGACCTTGATTCGGTCTATATAGGACAGCGACAAAGTAGAAACTTCAGTTCACCCCTGAATAGTTTCTCCATATTTCCTCCACTTTTTTGTCTTTTCCTCTAAAAGTTCTTCCCCAAATTCTTGCGCCAATGAATCATTTTTCAGAGATGGGACTAACCACTTTGGCTAGCGGAGTGGCGACTGTAACTGCAGTGGCCGTTGTCGTTTCATTGGTGACAGTCGTCTATATCGTCAACGATATCAACACCTTCTACGATGACGTTATCTCCGAACTCGACGGCTTCAAAGTGAGTCCTAAGCTTTGAAACATTCGACATTATCAAAGAGCTTGACTATTGCTTTGTTTAAGGACCTCGCCAACTCCGCATGGCACGAAATGAGATCAACCCCTGGAATGACTCGAGATAAGCGTGCAGTGTTCGTGAAGCGCAGACAATCTAGCTACAGCTCAGGAGGAGGCACGGGAGGTGGCGGATCACAATGCAATTGCGGTCAGCAAGCCAGCGGCTGCCCTGCAGGACCACCTGGACCTCCTGGAGAACCCGGACTACCGGGTGAGGATGGACTACCTGGACAAGCTGGAATGCCAGGAAATGCCGGCGGCAGCGGTGGTGGCGAGAATGGAGGCGGTTGTATCTCGTGTCCGGTTGGACCTCCAGGACCACCAGGACCAGACGGAGGGCCCGGACCAGCTGGACCAGTTGGAAACCCTGGAGCTCCTGGAGGCGGATCTGGGCTCTCACCACCTGGACCTCCTGGACCACCAGGAGACGCCGGACAACCCGGAAGTGATGGTCAACCTGGAGCTCCCGGCCAGCCAGGAGCACCTGGAACCAGTGGAGCAGGATTGCCAGGACCACCTGGTCCTCCAGGACCTGATGGAACGCCAGGACAGCCAGGTCAGGATGGCAGTGCCGGTGGCGGTAGCCTGCCCGGACCACCAGGGCCACCTGGACCAGATGGAAACCCAGGGCAGGCTGGACCTCCCGGAGCTCCTGGAGCGCCTGGTAACGATGCTGGGCCTAGTAATGATGGTGGATACTGTCCATGTCCTCCACGGAACGGAAATGGTTATGCAGGCGGCAATGGTGGAGGTGGTAACGGCGGAGCCGGTAATGGCGGAAGCGGTAGCGGCGGAGTAATTGGAGGAGGCAGTGGTATGGGTGGAGTTGGCACAAGTGGCTACAGTGGTGGACCAGCTAGACGACACCGGAAGCGCCATGGTTCCAGCAAGAAGCGAGTGGTCAGAAGAAAAGCAGCAAAGAGGGCTTGAATGTCATTGACTTGTGTTAGCTGTTCTGAATAAATCTCTTTTCTATAAAGTGTTCGTGTATGTGAAGCTGCAGAGATTGCCTAGAGGAGTAGAGGTGGTCTGAAAAGCTGATAGCTCTTCAACCACCCAATTTCAGAGTTGTTGGTTAGGTACATCATGTACTGAGTAAACACAAAATCAAGTTACAAAAAATCAGGGCTAAATTTTACTACTTCAATCCTGCACAAAAGGTTTCATCATAACTTCTTGCTTGCTTCATTGCACAAACGAAACTTCTCCTGCAGCTGTCATCCATGTAGCACACGTTGTTGAAGTCATTCCGATAGTAATTCCTTAAATCTCACATTAACTTTAAACATGTCTTTGCTTCCTCTTACCTTCAGTATGACAAGCTTCGATGATAATGGGCGATAAATAATAGTATCACCCATTGATACCCATTAGTGATATGCTGACGGGAATAAAAATGCTCAGTTTCGATTGGTAGTAGCTGAGAGCCCGTCGAATTTGAACACTAGCTCATCATATAGAAAATCCCGTCTCCCCCCCCNCCCCCCCCCCCCCCTCCTCCAGAACTATAACAACTGAATTCAACACGCCAAATAAACACGGAAGTTACCGAAAAAAAATTTTTTTACTCTGTCTGTAAGAAACTTTGGTTCACCTAAACAATTGGTATTCATCACTGGGAAAAACCCTGGACCACCCTAGTTTGATAACCAGGCTGAAGCACTTTCTTTACCAGCAATACATAGTCCACTCGATTCCTTCCGGGGTCCCTAAATGGAATGAAAGCCTCTCTTCAATCTGATGATGCAGGATGACCAGACCTACTCCTCACACTTTGTATTTATAGCCACATTTTCAATTATTACTTGTATTCATGGAGGCTCAATATTCCCACTATAATCTCATGGTCTCAAAGGTAAATCATCTGCTAAATAATTCCTAGTATAAACTCACTTCATGAATTTCCGGAAGAGCTCTTTGTCTTTCCAAAGACGATCACTGAGTGCTGACCACGATTGTGGTGAGAAGTCGGTCATATTGTAAAACTCCTACAGAAGTCAAATTCGGAGAATCGACCAATATAATTCGTTCAAAATTTTTCTAAACTTACTTTTGTAGTGTATTCTAGTCTCCATACTGGTGGCTTATTGTCTATATTCGCTTCAGTTACATTTCCATAGTACGTCTCCGCGTCTTTGACTGTCTGAAGCAAAACAAAACACTATTTTTTCCATTCTTCAGCTTAGGATAAATATTCTGCCTTTTGTCCTTCCGCTTTCATTTACTCTAATCAATTTTAATAATTTTCTGAAAACATCGAGCCCAATGTGAAGTCCCTAGTACAAAAGACCCATAAAGTTTAATTCAACATAATAAATATTTTGTGAAAAAGTCGAGAATGCGCTGATTTTGGTCGGAAAGTTTGTTTACTTCAGGTTTAGATCGAACTCAGTTTTTTCATAGAAGTCTGCAGAGAATGCCGAGGAGTTTATGATTTCGCTTAAGCCAACATAATAGGTTCAATTTGCTCTTTCTTCACCACTGGGAGCTCTTACAAATGAGTAAGCATCGCAGCGTTGGTCTGACAGAAGCTCCCCAATATTAAATGGGCCTTTAAAAATAAACTTAGTCATTGTCCCATTAGTTTAGTATCACAGATGTATCTCTGGCTTCCCTTCACGCAGGCTTCCACAAATCTATCGTGAAGAGCATAATATAAAGCTGCATTCCAGTGGAAAAGTCCTTCTTTCCCCGTTGAATGACATACAGTGGGTCCGGGAACTTCTCCCCTAACACGGCGTCGCACACGCTGCACCCGCCGCCTATCGCAGGATTGCGATGAAAGATTGGAGCGCGCAATTTGTGAGGTGGAGAGTCCTTTAATCATTTGAATTGGCTGGTCGCTCCCTTCAATTTCAATGCGGTATTGATCGTCGTTTATATAAGAGGAGTCATTTTAATTAATCAAGTCTAATAAACATGAAAACTAAAAAGAAACAGAAG